TTTCTTTCGTGACTAGATGCACCTAAACACCACGGAACACTAACTAATTACTGCAAATTTGAGGCGGTTGAAGTGTTTGTCCTTCTGCAAAAAATCCGTCCAGTTCATCTCCTGCTTCAAAAGAAGCAGGGAAATTTGGAACCTGTCACTAATAATCAATACGCTCCAACTTCTGCCTCTATGCATAAATGTTTTGTTGTTCTGATGATCGATAAAAGTTCAGTTTGGAAAAGTAAAATGTTTTGTATATCTCACCAAGGCCGCCGGTTGTCAAGAAACGTTTGACATGTTGGAAGTGCATGCATTGCCTGAGACCATTCGGGAATCAATAAAGAAAAATTTCGCATTTGTAGACCGCGTCCCACAATTTAGTCTAAAGTGGAATGCCCCTCCTTACGAAACATCCCCCTTGGAGAGTGCTGGTCGATCCTTTTGTACAGTGAATATCGGTTAATCATTTCCAGTCTTAAAATGGGGTTCCTCAAGAGTATCGTCACCTCACGTACGTCCAACTAGCCTGTGCGCTTAGAACGCCGCAACATCAGAAAGGTCACGTAACCTGATTGACTGTTGGATTTCTGCTTATACCTAATTTCATGCATCTTCGTTTGTCAGCTTACCGGAAAGGACCCCGAAACATTACTGTCGACAGCCTAAATAGCAAGCAAATATCGTTTCAGCCCGGAAATTTTTGCAAAATATGTGTCGGAAAAGTGGTATCTCAAGCTAGCAGCAAGCAACAAAACAGAATTAAAAGAAGCACCAGTGTGGTCTTATTAATTTGGGAGTCATTACGGTCAGAAATTGTGGTTCACCGGTTGTCGACTGCTATCTCTGTGTGTTTGTTACTATACCTATTGATGCACTGAAATTCAGAAAGGCAGGAGCTTCAGGTATATCTCTACCAGGCTTCCTATTGGAACGTGGTAAACAAAGTCACGCTTAAGATAGCTGTGTCTGAGTCTTCAAATACCCCTGAGCATCATATGACATATGGTATCACGCGGAACTAGTAACAGGCAGTGAATTATGTTTGAATAACACGATTTTTTATGTTAGCAGAACCTTGTCACATTTGCTAAATCAGGTATGCCAGGTTTATTGACCACTTGGGTTTCTGCATCCTCAGAAGTGAGGTAAGTGAATAAAACAGCCCATTATAACGACCGTTTTAGAAGCTACTTCTTGAAGCAGGTAAAAAGTGTTAATGTGGGATAGCGCGTTATCCACTTAATCCTTCGGCGCTGGTATTCGACGTCTTCATCCCGGCAGATAACGGGTTTATGGGCAACCGTTGAATGCAATTAATCAAAAACATCATTACGGTGCTTATTTTTTCTGTTTCAGACATTGAACATATCCCCTATATTTTATTAAAACTTTCACAAGGCCGCAAGCACAAGTGCGTCATTCGTGGTGCGAATACTGTACATCGGAAGTCTTCAGTCAGCATGGGAAAGTATGGCTAGTAAAATTTGTCAATCACCAACACGTACTCGCTTTCATGTCAAGAATCAGAATTAAAACAAAACACACCATTCAAAAAACCCTTAATTTCGCACCATGCAGTCACCTTTAATCAAACGTGCTCTTTAATTTACCTTTTCATATTCCCCTGGATCATTACAGACTTTTCTTAGTCGAGCCCTATGTCCCTTTGCAATTAAAGACGCTGTTTTTGTGTTTCGTACCCAATCACACTGGATAGAAATTACATTCAGTTTAGGCTACAGTAGTGGATGACTTTGAGTGTTTTTATTACAAAATGTTGCACCATACTCTGACTGAAAAAAACAGCTATTCGGGATAATACTACAAGTGATTCCAAGGGCAAAATCAAAATACCATTTTGGAAAAAAACCATCTGCACTACCGTGTCGAATCAAACCTTAGGCCTTTTTGACAATAGGTTTAATAAAGCAGTAAGAAAAATCATGACAGAGATACTCACATGGAAACAGAATTACTACGCCCTCTAGGGATAATGATTCACGCGTAACGTGCTAGCTTCAAAATTGCATCTTTCAATGGAAACGCTTTGTCTATTTTTGGTAAGTCAATGTGTACAGATGATCCACCATTTTGATTGAAAATATGTTTACAGACGACAAATTTTGCCCCTAGTTTGAAGATTTGCTATCTTAAAAATTGTTTCCATAATACTAAACAACTCATAGTTGCGATTGTGTTGGGGGCGAGGTCGTCAAGACTGGGTACCATGGATACATCATGTGCTTTGGGAGATCATCGTCGGTTGAGAGTCATAAGTATTCGCTATTTGAGAGGGATAATACAAACCACACAAACTAGCTGAATGGAATTTTGCGTGAAATACAAGCGCCTTAAACATTCGTACGCCCTTATAATAAAGCATTAGCCGCACAATATATTTGGCCGCAGAAACTTCACGAGAGGAGTAAAACTTTTTGCACTAAAATCTTGCATTTCGTTTCGCCAAACCAAAGCCATTCTAATCTAATTTCATATTTTTGCAGCTCACTAAATTTGACTGCCCACTGAAGCATCGGGTTAGATCAGAGAGATATTACGACTGGATCTTCTCCAAGAAAGACATTTGTACTTGCCCATGTTAAATGGACAGAATAATCCGGAAATACAATTTATCATTACACCCTATCGTAGTTATTTTACTCCACTACCCAAGGTTAAGCCTTCCATAGTACCGACTGCTGCCTCAATTGTTCAAGGTTCCTCATCCTCACAGGCCTTTAGTACCAACCAGTCGATCATTTAGAGTCAAGACCCACATTCGATAGCTTCATTTTTTCAGTGTATAATTTTCCACAATTGCGGAATTCTCATCAGATCAGTGATTTGAGTCGCTCGGCTTCATTACACTTTACCTTCACACATTGATTGTAATGATCAAAACATGGACCGAAACAATTCGCACCGCGATAAACGAACTTGTGTTCAAAATTAGCCACTATGGTTGTTATGGATGACATTTTCGCCAATGAGTTGTCGGGGAGCGCCTCCAAATTTTATTTTTCAAAGGGCTCTTAGGTCCCACTGGATCTGGCTCATCTCATAACGCATTTCTACTGGATGAAAAGGGCTTGCTCTTTTCTCACACCTGTGAGCCATCACTTGACGTTTCAATCCAAATTGAGCCCAAAAAACCAGCAACTACTGACCTCTGTCTCAAATGCGTGTCAGCGCCTAAAACATCACCACGTGATTCTTCAGTACGATGCATGTCTCCAAATTCGTTCCAAAACGCACAAACGGCTACCTAGACAGCGCGTAACGTGCTGGATTCCATCGGATTATTCGATCGCTCTATGCTCTAATACTTCCATGCGCTGTCCAGTAACGATGCATTTTAGAGATAAATCGATGCCATGTGTCTGCCGGAGTCACAGGCGTTTGTCTTCTTTTATCCAATCTCCATGAATAGCAGGCATAAAATACCTTCAACAGCTGCTGCTGAGACATTTCTGGACCATAAAGCGATATAAGAGTAAAACCTGTCGTTCTGTGAGGTCCAACCTGAATATTTTGCCCCTTGTCGACCAATCCACGCAAAAATGTCCAAGAAACCGAACTGCGTGTGTGAAATTCAGCTATTGGGACCACCAAGGCTGATAGCAGGCAAGTATGCCGTAGAGATCCCCTATTAGTGTTCGAATCAAACTCAGCACAAAGCCATTTAATCGCCTAACTTCTCTGGCAGTAAAACCCTCGGCTGCCCACACTTGGAGGCAGAAGAGACGGTGCTGAGGCGCCCGTCCATAACCTGTCTCAGCTTTTCCAACAAACTTCTCGATACAAAACAATCAGATTGTCTCCAACACAAGTTAATAATTGCCATAACAGAAAACAAGATCTCACCATAGGTTTCCGATGCGTAGGTCTCTACAGAGGGCTACTCTATTTTTCGGGTGGCCTCAAAACGCGGGATGGCTCGCGGCGTTAGTTTATACTGATGAGCGGTCTTGACCATCTCGTTTTACCTCTCCGCTACGATGCAATATGGCTTCATATCCCGCCGCGAGGGCCCGCTTCTCTTCATCTTGCAGCCATCTACCGGCGCCCCTTCAGTCTTTCAAAAGATCATTCAATCCTGATATAAACACTTGAGCAGCTCTCTTCCAGGTACCAATCCATAAATATTTTGCCACCAAGGCCTCCTAAATAGAGCCCCACCGAGTCAGATCAAGTAAAAATTTTCCAGCGGCGCTGACCAGCGTCGTTCGATGGAGATATTGGACCGAACACTTCGTTGCATACAGCAGATGCCGCGCAGGCCAACCACAACATTTCCTGGATTTAGTCAACATCAACGAAAGATACTTCACTTTTCAGGTGTCAATTAACAATCCGATTGGACATACTGACCAAATTTTGTTAACGTTTTATTTAATCTGCTACTGGGCTGGAAATCCCGAACATCAAACGTCGATTCGAAGCTTCCGCGGTGCAGATATTTTGATCAATTTAAACTGGCATCACAAGTAAAAAATATTACAGGAGCATTGTCAAGAAAATTCATGAGGTTGACGCGATGTTCGCCCCATAAATCAGCGCGCAGTCATACGGAGGGCATTCTAGCTAAAAGGATTCTGTGTATTCTGGAAAGGAGTTCTCAAATATTTTTCGAAAAGTTGACCGCAGGGTACACAAGGGATGTGCTTGCAGTGCGTAAAATTCGGAATCGCTCTAGGGCGAATTCCGCCAATGGAACATAAAAGAACAGGCAACAAAACCAGACTTCTTCCGGAAAAGGTGTGCGATTTAAGCACATGAGATATCGCTGCAGAAAGTAGCCGACCACGTTCCTCTAGGGGGAAAAGAATTGGAAACCGCAAGCGGCCCGAAATCGGTATCTGAGGTCTGCAGATAACAGTATGCAGGCCCGTATTCTGGCTCGACACCATTACACGGAACCTTATCAAAGGACAGTCACGAGCGGTCTCTAACCAACTTGCTTTCCACGAAGTAGGAAAATTACCGACTCCCGCACAAGACAGACTCACTTTTTGTGGCCAGACGACTTCCATCACCAGCTCCTGAAAAAAGTTCTTCACACTGGTGGAGAATTGAAACCCCGCCTTTCGCAAGCCACTTGACGAGGGGACCTTTCCTCTTCATAGATAGGAGCGACTGTCAAGTCAATCTACGAAACTAGTGGCCGACTATCCCCCAGCAGCGACATGATTATAAGCTTCACCTCTTGATGGAACGCATCCTGATGTGGGCCATTGCAGATAACATTAGCTTTCTAATCTCCGGTTCAAAGCGGATTCCTCCTAGACCGTTCTTGCGGGGCGAGCATTCTCCCGCGTATGGACAGCTTAGTCCAAGCTAAGGAGGGGCTCATATCGGTTGCTATATTATTTGGCTTTAAAAGAATTCTTGATAGAGGCACACACGTCCTGCTGCCCCACAAACTCGAGTTAAACAGGATTTAAGGAAAAATTCCACGCCGAATTAGAGCGCTCAAGTCGTTCAACGGAGCTCTTGGACTCAAAATGTCGTTGCACTCACCAGATATCGCGCAGTTTAACTACCATCTCTCCTGGATTTGTTCATCATCAACGAAAGGCACATCGTTGATCAGGTGACAATTAACGCTCCAATGGGACATAATGACCACTGTGTGCTGACCTTTGATTTCATCTGCTATTAGGTAAGAAATCCCGAACCTCGAATGTTTCTTCAAGACTTCTGCCGTGCAGACTTTCCAGGAATGCGCATCTTTCTTGAACAAGACACACTGGGACCAGCTCCGATGGAAGAATCATATGGGACCATTGTCCAGAAAGTATACGAGGCTGATGCGATGTTCGTCCCAAAAAAACAGCACGCACTCGGACCAGTCGCAGGATGCCAAAAAGGATTCGGCGACTTCTGGAAAAAAGGTCCGAACTTTTTTCCAGAAGTCAGTTACAGGAGATTCAGAAGACGAGCTGACATTTTGTAAAATGTGGAACCACTGTTAATCAGAAATCCGCCAATGGAACATATGAAAACAAGTCGCCACCATAGATCTCGCTCGCAAAAACAAAAACGTACTGTTCAGATACATGAGACATCGCCGCAGAAACAAGCCATCCGCGTTCTCCTTGAGGGACAGGAACAGAGAGCCGACGAGTGGCCAAGCATTTGTATCTGAGGTTTACAGAGAACACTATGCGTGCCTACATTCAAACCCAGCGTCCTCGTCACATCCACTCTTGTCAAGGCGGAACAGCGAACAGCCTCTAACCGACTTGGTCTTCACGGTGAAGGGCATTCGTCAACTCTTGCACAAGATCAACCCATCCTGCGCGTTGGGGCCCGAGGAATTCCATCCAAGGATCCTGGTGGAAACGCCCTCCACGCTGGTAAATCATTGACACCTGGTTTTTCGTCAGTCGCTTGAGGAAGGCCGCTTTTCCTCTGCTTGGAAGGAAGCTATTGTCACGCCAATCTACAAGACTGGTAACCGACTATCGCCTGGAAGCTACAGGGATATAAGCCTGACTAGCGCGCCGCGGAAGGTGATGGAACGCATTCTGAAGCGAGCTATCCTAGATCACCATACTTCCAGCAACTTGATATCCCCAGCTCAACACGGATTTTTCCCTCACCGCTATTGCGCGACAAACATGGTGAGAATGGACCAGAAGACATCGCGGTAATAGATGCCAAAGAGGATTTGGGTAGCGGGCTCTCTTCGAAGACGTCTTTTTCACTCCATTAGGAGAAATCGTCTCAGAAGGCATTTGTAGTTCTATGGATGATCAGGCGCACCTCTTCCATATCACCTGCATGGAATTCCAAATCTCTGCGGGGCCAACGTCGGATGGCTTCTGGAATACTCCAACCAAGTTTTATACTCAGGACGCGAGCGACGTAATCCTCATTGGGCTTGTACAACGAGCTGCCAAGAATATGTTTGCAGGCCTCAGCTCGGTGGACTATGGAACGCGTCCCGCTATGCTGACCCCTTTCGACCGGAGTATCATTGCCTCTCGAGAGGCCTTATACTTGCTTATGCCCTGTTTGAACAAGGATTCCGAAAAACTTTTTCCCAGCCAACACCTAGTCAGCACACAGTGGGAATATGGCAAGGCGATTTTTAAGCTCGGAGTGCACATTTTTTGGGACAAACTTTTTCTCATTTCTATCAGTTGGTGCGCGGAATAAACTTATTCCAGCGGTTTACCACACTTCATGTAGCACATAGTTTGAAGCAGTATGAGACTCTTTTAATGTGAACCGTTACGCTGCTTACTGTTTCGGGTGGAGAACTTAAAGGGTAGTGCTACACCGTTTTTTCGCTCGTGTCTTTCGGGTGAACGGAGGAAGCAGAACAAAAGCAAGACCGACCCAAAAAACTTGGGCCAGATCCCCAGTCCTGTGTATCAGCATGTTGATCTTTAAATTCAACCAATCAAAATAGAGACGGGGAAATCTTTGTACACTCGTTCCTTCGGGTTCGTAGCCGGCTTCCATGGCGTTTACGTACTTTTTTGTTCACCGTTTTTCCACCCGGCTACATCAGTCAGAAAACCGTATCATTTTCCGTCTTGGGCGAGCTAAAGGAAGATTTTGGCCGATACGTACGAAATCTTGTCGGGCGTCGCAGAAATGGGTATTTAAAAATGCGACCTCCATTTACTTCACTGACTGATACACGGGATCCAGAATTTCTTCCAAGGTTTCCGGGTCGGCTTTTTTCTTGTTGTTCGCCAGCCTCCACACATCCGAATGTTACAACTGACGAAAGTGTATATCAATCCTCTTGAACTTTTCAGCGCTGGGTCATAGGCTTGCCATCACAGGGATTCACTGAAAAGCGTCTGAAATTGCTTTGGACTGGGTACTAAATGCAGCGTAAACAACGGTCAGAGGAACGTTATTCCACCCTCCGACTCCTCCAAACGATTAAATTTGCTTTAAAGTGCGCGGTCTGTGCTAGAAAGTATTCTTGCCGTTTGCTCGTCGTGTACTATTTGAGTTAATTGTGGGAACCTCTTGGCCAATCTTGTTCAAACAGAACACATGTAAGTGTTGGGTCTCCAGGGAGGCGACAATACTCCAGAGGAAGGAGGTCAAGCACCACGAGACGCGTTTCAAAGTCAACAGATTTGAGGCGGGCATCCATTTTAGCAGCTTGTTGCATACGCTCAGTGGGAGGTACGCCAAAAAGTAAACAACCTGGCTGGTGTGTCCCAGAAGCGGTCTGAGGCTGACCGCATAAAGTAGCCGGAAGGCCATGCTAGTAATCTGGAGCACGTGTTCCGGGTCATTCGTAGGACGACGAGTCATTTCGGAATCTAATTTTTGTTGGGCACACTTGAAGAGTAACAGAAACCTAAATGCTTTTTATATCTGTCTTTGTAATGTCCTCTCGTCCATCCTCAGCATGCACAACCACAGTGTTCACTGAATCTTCTCCGGATATCTGTTTGTAAGGCGCTGGCATTGGAATTGCAAGTCGTCTACAAAAAGTAAACATGGGCTTGATGGCACACCTGGAAGGCCGTTGATATAGATCAGAAAAACGGAATAATACCGAAACAGAGCCTCAGGCGACTCCAATGAAGACCGGAGTCGAAGAAGAGAAGATCGAAGAGTTTTCAGCAACCCTGAAGATCGAGCCCACCTTTACTTGGTTGGAACATTTTAATCCAGCGTAGGGTGACATTTTGCCGTGACTGGATGTGGCATGGTCGCTGGGAGAATACAGACCTGCATACGGTTCCTGTAGGCTCAAGTAACCAATATTGTGCCACTGTTGGCCTTCTAATTTCTCTGCCTCCAGGAGAAGGCGCGTGGCTTGTATTCCCGACGGTGCCTCGTATTTAAAAGGCACGTTTATTGTTCTGTTGGGCGAAGACTAGTTTTTCGTTTTCGTTTCGTTTGTTTTCGTTTTTTCTGCCTGTTTTCGTTTGTTCTATTGGCGAATTTCCGATTTACAGTTTCTGCATTCCAAGAAATGTCAGGTCATCCTTTGTGTCTCCTGTAGTTATCTTTTTAGAGAATGGTTAGGACCTCGTTTTCTGGCGTTTGATCCGTTCGACTGCACGCTGGTTTACTTGGGAAAGAAAGAAAATACAGTTTCTGCATTCCAAGAAATGTCAGGTCATCCTTTGTGTCTCCTGTAGTTATCTTTTTAGAGAATGGTTAGGACCTCGTTTTCTGGCGTTTGATCCGTTCGACTGCACGCTGGTTTACTTGGGAAAAGAAAGAAAACGTTCAGCTGTAGCACCTTTCCGGTGCCTAGCTGCCATGCCACCCGAAGGAAGCATGAGGGCTAGTATACTGCCAGGTTGCCCAAGCCTAGACAGGGGAAGCCGAGTGGCGGAAGTCGGATTCGAACCACGAACCTTCTGGTCAGTAAATTCGCGTTCTAACCACTTGGGCCATCTCGCGTTAGCCTCGTGATGTTTTGTACAATGCTTCAGCATGTTCCCTGATTTTGGTCCCGGTGCCTGATACGGAAATCCGACAGGGATGGTCGTGGGCGTCCGCGGTATCTAGTGGGTTCGAAGGCATGTATCTGGGGGCTGTGATGAACGACTGATCAGCGTCTACGCCCAATTAGACCGCTGCACCGGAACCTCATCAAGTAGGTCTTCAGAGCCTCCCCACCAAAAGGAGGTGCAGGAAGTGGGAACCAGAGGGTAGGTGCTCAAAGCTTTGTATTAGGAACTAGCCATCTTCTGGTGGACTTCACGGCCAAATGTAGACGACGCCGAGGAGCAGAGAATCGGTTCCACCCAGCAGATTTGTATCTGCAGAGCATTATCAAAGGGCGTGGGATTGATGTTCAAGAGGACAATCAGGAAGGACAGGATTACATATGTATATACCACGTCACCCTCCTTCTCTTGTTCCGAGTCATACCGTCTACTGAGATGCCCGCATCAGTAAGCGATTTATGAACCAGTTTTCTGTGAATGCAATTATGGACGGTAGTTCAAGCAAGCCGGCTGCTGAATTTCGCGATGTTTACGGAAAAGACCGAAACGGCTTTTGAACATGCATTTCAACACTCTCACTACTATGTCCGAAGGCGGGATGCGCAGTGATTTGCCACCAAAGCGCTTGACAGATTTAATAGTTCCACTCCAGGTTGGAGCAAAAGACTTCGAACAGGCCTCCGTGGTGTGCTTGCCTGCTTGTTGTTCTGGTGCTCCCGAGACCTGTCCCTTTGCAGGGAGTTGCCCCTGAAACCCTTGCCTCTGGATCTTTGTCTTTGAAAGACGTATATTTTCCCCTCAATGACTCCTGCTTTTAGCTCTATAAATGATAAATTTCGGACGCCTGAATTTGCTGCCATTCGGGGATTTGCGGTGGACATGGGTCTGTTTGGTCCCCTGTGATTTCAGTTTGTCGACCAAATTGTTTGTGTAAGGCCGCTTTTGTTTGCTCATCCTTTAGATGACATTACCAGGGAGTATTCATCTTAGTAGCACTCTCAAGAGGCTCGTTTTCGCAGAGGACTATACCTCGAATCCAGTAAGCAACTTTTGGTTGAGGAGGTTTTAATGGTTTACTCAACCGCAGTGGCTTTTCTTTTGTGTTTGAATCAGCTTTGAGGTCGCCCGCGACCAGCGTGGCCAAATTGGTATATGTCGGATTTTTTAGTGCGATGCTTCTGCTTTGGCTCTCAGGGTCATGTGTGACTATTTAAACCACCATCAGAGGGGGTCATTTGGATAGAGTAGGGCACAAGGCTAGAAGTTTCGCATTTTCTTTGGTTTTGGGGCTCCCGAACCAGTACCCGACGTTCAATACAACGCTTGTGGCTGATCTGTTGGTAGACTTCGCTGCCTGTTTCTGCGCAGCTGACTCAATGCAGGTTAGAACTTGCAATTTGAATGTGGATTTCAACGCTGCGCCTTTATTGTCTGTTGGGAGAATAAGCGACGATCATTCTATATGTTGGACGCCTTGTCTTCTTGGGGCTCAACTCGCCCCGGACCACTGTCGTTGGTACTCCGGGGCCCTTCGATGGTTGAATGGAAGTTGTAAACTGGAGTTGTGGTCAGTTGCATCCGCTTACTTTCAATGGCACGGTAGACCATAAATACTCTCGGATTAGCCCTGAATTTGAGACCGGGTTATCTATTTCGAAGCGTAAGCTAGACAGTCATTCTGCGTCCGCAACTTCCGAGTCCTTGGAAAGAAATGCCATTTTGTCCCCGAGTTTATCGATCAAAATTGAACATGTGCACTAATCTTTCCGAGTTTGAAGTGGGGACTTGGTTTCATTATTGACAGCTGCCTTGCTATTTGTGGAGTGCATAGCGCCCACAAGGTAGAGGAAATGAAATAGACAACTGGGTCAAGAGAGTTAGATAATCGCCTCAGGTGTCCATCCTGCAAATCC